AGTGAGATGGTGAACTAACTTATCTCTTAAAGAGCCAGTTAGGTCTTAAAGTTCATGCAGGAGTAACGTTAATTATTGAAGAAAATATATAGTTCTGTCATGTAAAAAAATAAAAGAATATATATCTTTTGGTATGAGTTGCCTTAGGGCATATTCCCGCTTTAATTGAGGAAAAGTACATTAGTTGAAAAGGAAGTTTAGAATGATAACGAGAGAAATACAGTATGCATTTCTCAAAATGTAACACTTAAAACTGTGAGAATAAAAGCACATAATAAATTTTAAAGGCAGAAAGGCCTTTTAACAAGAGAAAAAAAATGGGTTTGTCTTTAACCAAGGGAGTGAGATATAGTTCTTTAAAAATGCATTATCTATTTTCATTATTTAGTGGCTTAATGACACAGGCATTTTACTATTTTAAATGCCATACAAATACTACAACATGAAAATTCCACTGCAAGAGTATGAAAAGCAAAAAAGGGCTTCTGCAAAGTGAATGGCCTCTCTTAATAATTGTTGGGACTATTTTTACAGTTCATAAGTAGGGTGGTTGTAGGATTGCAGAAGATGATTCCCTTGGATGAGTTCACTACCCCTGAAGGATGGACCAAAGAGCACTAGGGGATATGGGCTTAGTTAATAATTTGATCGAGGAGATCTATGATGAGAGTTCTTTTGACTGAAGGAGGGGGTATGACCCTCCCTGATCCCTAATCCTTGGTAAATACCTGCAGAATTGAGACTCCACACTAAAGTCTAAAAATCATTGGCTAAACAACAGGCAGAGAATCCAGGCATCTCTGGTCAAAGACAGAACATCTTTCTGGGCAAAAATGTTGATGACCCTATGCCAATCCTCAGAACTTCTCTTGAGTATTTTCTATAACTGTGGAATACAAAAGTATGGGATGCACTGAATGTATGAATATACCTTCAGATAAATCAAATGTGGAAAATAAATAATTGGGGATTAAAAAGAGGAAGAGGAATACATGGTTTGTAAGATGCTTGTAAAGTGCTCAGGCAATGTATGCTATTAGCTGTTGATGCCCTATAGCTCATACCTTCCTGAGAATCAAGGTGAGGAAACAGGAAGGACCTCCAAGAGATTGGGTTCTCCCATCTTCCTTTTTTTCTCTCTTCCTCACCACCTTCCCTTTCAACTATTCATCCACTGATTTAGCAATATTTATTTGGTTATTACTAAGGGCCAGAAACTGAGCTAGGCACCAGGAAAAGAGCAAAGGACAATGAGACACAGCATTGCTTCCATTTGGTTTACAGGTTTTTTTTTTGGAAAAAATGACATTAAATTGAAAAGTATATACAAACTTGGGTGCTAGAAAAACTATAATGTTAGTTAGTATCTTTGGTTAGTCTAAAATTCCAGAAAAAGCTTTCATGAGAAAATGATATATAAGCTTAGATTTAAAGGGTAAGGAGAAAAAAGAAAGAGGGTGTGTATAGTAAGGGGCAAATTTCAGGCAAAGGGAACAACATATATAAAAACCTATAAAGTGAGAAAAATCAGTGAAGGCTCATGATACACTGATACAATGATATTAAGATTTCTCCCAGGTTTATGACTTCTCTACTGGATGTTATTTTGTTATTTTTTTCATGAAACAATAAAACACTAAGAAAAACATACATAAGGGGGTTGACTTCTTTTAGAGATGGCAAGGTAGTGGAAAAACTGGAATTAACTTTTATTTAATAGCTGGCTGGGGATGCAAAGGACAGTAAGAGAAGGATTGCAGGTGGTAGTGGGAGAGAGCAGCAAGGATCATTGGGGAAACGAGGAGAAAACTGGAATTTTTTTCTGTAACTACACACACTGCCCCCACTAATGGATTTAAAAAGAGAGGAATATTCAGATAATTACCTATTTCTGGGGTGACAACTAGATTTTATCTTACATGCCAACTCCCTTCCTCCGGAAGGAGGTTGCTTAGAGCTTGCAGCACTGACTTGAGGATACTCAAGTTCTCTCCTGAGGTTAGCAGGAGTGCTGTGACCAAATGGCCATAGTTCTGGGAGGGGGACAAGGTAGCAACCCTGCTGTGTGTTTGCTAGTCTGATCCAGATCATAGGTGGCCTCTGAATTGAGCTGAGAATAATTTCTAGGCTGTAAGTGCCAATGTGTTTTCTCTATTATTTACTCACTTAAAGAACTCTACTCGTAAGAAGCTGGAATGATATAATGGAAGGAGCAAGAGACAGGGACAAAAGTTCTACTGCTGGGTCTACTACTGTTGTGCTGAGTATCCCAGGGCAAAGTTCTAAGCCTCAGACTTCTCACCCCTAAAAACTCTATAAACATATTTCTGTTTCTAGATTTGATTGCCACTGTGTTATTTGACCGCAAATACAGTATTTTCTAGACGAGTGATGTAAACTGTGGTAGAGACTGCTCAATGTCATAGGTATACATGCTCCTCTTCTTTTTTAGTGATAGAAACTTCCTCTCTGCTAATGGGGCTTTGATAGGCACATTCATAGCCACTCTGCTCGAGACTACATCTCCCAGCCTCCTTTATTCAGTTGTGGCCACATGACAATGTTCTAGACAGTGGAATGTATGCAACTTCTGTATCCCTACATAAAAAGAAACTACTTCCCTTCTTTTCTTTTTCCTGTGGCCTGACATGTGAACAGGGCACTGGTGAACCAACTTTGATTAAACAGACTAACATAAACAACAGAGGAGGCTGATGTTAGAGCAACAAAATGACAGAAAGCTGGGTTGCCAGACATTCCCATGAGCAAAGCTTCCTACCTGCTGGAACTGCCTACCTACTTCTGGACTGGAATGGCAGATGGAAATAAACCGTTTTCTTATTCAAGCAACTATATTTTTTGGTGTCTTTAGTGCTGCAGCTTAGCCAAGACTCGACTAATATCAAGTGCCTGCTAGGAAGTTAATATAAATCAATGAATCATCCAGATGAGGATTGGTTCAAACTTGGAGAGCAAGTGTGCTATAGAAAACTAGCAACCACAACACAACTCTGGACAATTGCTACTATGTAAGAATAGAAGCCTAGGTTTTCAAATCCTACTAATTTATTAAGAAATCTGGATTCTCAATGGAAATCTTTCACTTTTATAAATTATGGGCAACTAATTTGAAGTTAAAAAAAAACACTGCAGGTTACACAAAAATGCTTCCATATCAGATTCAAGTCAAAGACTGCCAGTTTGTGACCTGTCCTAGATCTGGGGATTGCACTAAATGTAAAACGCATAAACATATCATCAGCTTAATAATGATTTTTTTAAAAAACAAAGAAAACTTTACCACTTTAAATGTATACATTAACTACCAGAAATGTGCAAAAATATGTATCTTAGGATTGGAAATATTTGATATAAGAATGCAATCCTAAATACAAAAAGCAACCCAGTTGGTGATGATAAAAATGTAATATAATGAGCCAAAATTCCTCAATCACTTTCAAATCTGCAACAGGAAGCAGCTGGACAGCTCTTAAAGCCAATAGCTATACAGTAACCTATACCAATACCCTACACAGTAACTAGATTGTACTGAACTCAAATATACCACATGCATTTGATTATCTGTGCTATTAAGTATAGTCTTTGATAATATATCTTTTTCTTTATTTCAGTGCTGTGTATCCACTCAGAAAGATACTGCTACAGTTTGGATATCTAACTGTCCAAACCTCAAGTTGAAACTGGATCACCAGTGTTGAAGGTGGGGCCTAATGGGAGGTGCTTGGGCCATGGGGGTGGTTCCTCATAAATGGCTTAATGCCCTCCCCGTGGTAATGAGTGAGTTCTCTGTTAGTTCTCTTGAGAGCTGGTTATTAAAAAAATAACCTGGCACCTCCCCCCTACTTCCTTCCCCTTTAGTCATGTGATCACTGTGTTGCTGGCTCCCCTTCACTGTCCACCATGAGTAGAAGCAGCCTGAGGCATTCATCAGAAGCAGATGCTGGCACCATGCTTCTTATACAGCCTGCAGAGCCATGAGCCACAGAAACATCTTTTCTTTATCAATTTCCCAGCCTCTGGTATTCCTTTATAGCAACAAAAACGGACCAAGACAGACACACTGAATTTATTCCATGTTATTTGAACTTAATGATAAGGCAAAAGGAATGTTAATCATAAATATATTTAGCTAATAATTATAACCAGGGTGTAATTGCCGTCACACCAGCACACTGTGACCCAAATCAAAGGGAAACCTGACTCACTTTGGAAGTGCAAAATAATTGCAGGGGAAACCTTTGTAGGACAAGCACCTTCCCCCAGCATCTAATCATATATAACATTACTAGTTTTATATCTGGTTATTCCTTACTTCAGTCAGAAGAGCACATGAATATCAGCCCAAGGGAGGCAAATTTGTGAGACAACAGGAAAGCATTCCAGAATATCCAAATGTCCAGCAGCTCTGCCCAATGAGATGCCCACTGACTAACTGACCATCATTAGAGTCAGAAGGTAGCTGCAAAGGTTTGTCTGAGCCCAGTGCCCCTACCTGCATAGTTACCTGACAGTCAAATCAGAACATTCTGGAAGGATGCTACACAGAATGATATGTCACTGGCCCACTCCCTGGTCCCAATTGGCACCCCCTGGACCATGATAAATCTGTTTATTTTTAAAATGATCCAATTTACAGGTTGATAGAAGCATTTAAAACTGACTTTTCAAAATGAGTCATATGATTTAAATATTAAGAATTAAGATACAAATAAGAAATTTCAAGTTTTCTTATTTTTTAAAATACTTCATTCTATTGAGAATGTTCTTTCTATTAAAGGTAGCTCACTATTATGTGTGATTTTAAGTGTCTGTCCTGAATGAATAACATAAGAGGGTTAAGTTTAAATTTGCCTATAGTCTTAAGGTTTACACAAGATGGTTCTGTGGTTGGGTTTTAGCTATTTCTTTCCTTTTTCCTTTTTTTTTCTTTTCTTTTTTTCTTTTTTCTTTCTTTCTTTTTTTTTTTTTTTCTTTTTTACCTCTGTATATATTCCAGTGCATTCATAGTAGTCTCTGGAAGGGAGGCCAAGTCGAGGTTGGTCAAACTATAAAAAACATACATGAAAGAAAATAAATCATTCAACTGATATAGACCAGTTAGAAAAAATAAAAACATGCCTATCTGTGTATGCACAAGATTCTAGTCTTGCTGTTTATTAGGGTAACAATCAGATACCAAGTAAATATGTAATTAGGAAATGGTTTCCACACTGTAAGTGTTAAACTGATCAGCAGTAGATAATCTGAAGTATTGTGCTGCAGATATTTGAGGAAAACTGAAAAAAAAAAACAAAAAATACACTAGGAAGGATTTTTAATGTAGAGCAGAAGGTGCAGGTAAACAAAAACATGATAGACTCTAGGGCTTGGGAGTTTCCAAATTACGCATTTGCAAGGCTTCCCAGCTTCCTATGATTCTCTTATGCCACTGTGGGGGCATTCTTGTCCCCAAAGAACTCCTACCCTTAGTTGGGATCCACTTTATTGGTGGGAGTGAGTCATATCCTTTAAGTTTATTTGGAAGGATGGATGGGGGGAGTAGAAAACATCTGTGGTAACTCTAGAACTTTTTAGCTAGTGTAAGTCTTGCCAGAACATTTTTAATATCCTTTACCACAGGGGTATGGTAAAGACTCCTCCTTGGTTCTCCCCAAAGCTGCTCTGCTCAGAACTTCAGCACAGCCAGACAGCAGCTTGATGTGTGGAAGAGGAAACTCAGTTCTGCTCTAGTGTGTCTGGAACCCTTCGATACCCAAGTGAGAGCTACCTGGACATACTCATAGCTTTGTGAGATAGGTTCTTATTCACTGCCTGGTAGCATAAACGTGGGGAAAAACCAAGTATTTATAGGTAATTATGAGTTAAAGTGAGAATCCTACCAGCAGTGAAGAGCCTATGCCAATACAAAAGAAACATAACCAAAAGCACTGGTATAGAAAGAGACAGAAGGTATCTTCAAATGAAGGGCCCTAATCCTTCCCCAAGGATCCTGATTTTCAAAGTGATTATGCTAGCATTTGGCCCCAGGGGAGAATTTTGGAAGGGAGAACAGGAGTTCACTGTAGGAGAGAATTAATTTTTCTAGACCTGAAAAATATGACATTGGTATTTTGATGGGGATTGTACTGAATCTGTAAATCACTTTGGATACTATGGACATTTTAACAATGTTGATTCTCCCGATCCATGAGCAAGACGTTTTTCCATTTGTTTGTGTCCTCTGTGATTTCTTTCCTCAGTATTTCATAATTCTCCTTGTAGAGATCTTTCACCTTTTTGGGTAAATATATTCCTAGGTATTTTATTTTCTTTGTGGCTATTGTGAATGGTATTGAGACTTTCATTTGACTCTCAGCTTGACTGTTATTGATATATAGAAATGCTACTGATTTGTGTACACTGATTTTGTAACCTAAGACTTTGCTGAATTTATTTATTAATTCCAAGAGTCTCTTAGTGGAGTCTTTGGGGTTTTCTAGATACAGGATCTTGTCATCAGTGAAAAGCGATAGTTTGGAGAGAGTTGTGTTCAATCCCTTTTGTGATTTTAATAAAAATGACCATAAAGATTTATTTAATAGTGACATGAATATGATTCTGTCACCTGCAACTTTTGTTATGATTTCTTTTATAGGAGACTAAATTAAAACTCTATAAAATTTTTAGCCCATTCCAAACATGCTCATTAATCTAGTCTTGGGTGACACTTAAATAAATGGTTTACATTTTTAAAAAATCTAATAAAGTTATGTAAAAAGAATGGCATTTTATTTATCTTGATTGAGAAAAAAGTACAAATATTCTTTAATGAGGACCAAAATTATTTCCAAATCCCTTTTTTATGTCCTTTTTATAAACAATTGGGAATTTTTGGTTTCCAGACCTGCATTACTTATATAAATCAAAGGAGGTTCCTTTCATTAAATATACAAAGAAATTAGGCACTTTTTCTGAATTGCCTCTGCTATTATTTATTTTATGAAGCAAAGAATATCTAAAACAGAGGTAAGCGAACTGAGAGGTGAATGTCTAAAACACAACATTAAGAAAATACTTTCAAAATTGTGACTCCAGGTATCAGGGACAGAGCATGCATTTATTACTACCTTATTTATGCAATTCAAATGAAAATATACATTATTTTTAAATATCAATAACAACAATGTATGTGGAAGTTTTATTACAATTTAAAGAGAACTTTGGCCATTTGCCACACAAACTTACGTGAATTATATGGTTCGTAGAGTTCTTATCATCAGTACCAACAAAAAAATTAATAAGGACTTTTTTCCCATATTTAGAATTTAGATGTGCAATGGATTTCTCTGCTGTCCAAGAAAGACCTAAAGCAATGAAAGGTGCAATATATCTTTAAAAAGTTTAGTTCATTAACCATACTATAAAGTAACAGATTTTATGTGGAAATTAATTTTTTAAAAAAGAAAAAATTGCCTCACCATATCTTTGTTCCCAGTTTTCTGTCGCTACTGGCCACCCATATATATCTGGTAACAGTTTGAGTAGAGGTGTTCCGCCTCTACTATCAATAGCAGCTTTTGAAAACAATGAAAATAAATTCAATATGAAGTCTATGCATATTTTGGCACCAATATATAAACATTCCTAGTGAAATCAAATGAAGTGCACTTACATTCATTTACACAAGACCTGTACAATGTTTTTGCTTTCTGCACTGCTACTATATCTTCAGTTTTGGGTTCTTGAAGGACATCTGAAATAGGACATTTAATAAAACACATCAACATAATTGCTCATTTGATGCTGTAATTAACATTTGCAAATGAGGTTCAGTAAAAAACTTCTCTTTTCTGGAAGTATGTTCACTGTTTTTCCATTCCAAAATCTTATAGGAAAAAACAAACCCCTACCAGATCAACATTCCTAGCACAGAACTAGGAGTTAGTTTCATTAGCCAACTTTGATGAAAGTCTTTTTGACTAGATTATCTTATTTTGTGAACAGCAATATGTACTGCTCTGCCACAGAAAATAGTTACTTTTCTTGAACCTGAGATTAAAAAGGAAACAAAAAATAATACGGAGGAATTTAGAATGTAATATGGATAGTCCTTTGATGGCTGGAAAATAATTATCTTTGCATGATTGTACTGTTCATGCTCCAAATGAATTAAATGAATTGTTCTACTTGTTTGGACGTTAAAAAATGGCAAAAATTGCTTCTCTACAAAGTAACTTCTAGAGGAGCACAGAACAGAGGATAGGATTGGAGAACAGTAGGGACTCATCATTTAGACTTTTTCAACTTCCCAGGGTGGGTCTTAGAATAATATACCTATGCTGGAAAAGGAAATTTCAGTAACATGGCTACTTTAACAAAGGGCTAGGGTGCAGAGGCAGCAGAAATAATTTTTAGTGGCAAGCCAATTTTTTTTCTCCTGTAAATTGCATACAACTGACATCTCTAAGAATGATAGAGTTTTCATTTGCATCCCTACAATTGAAAGCAGGAATGCTAAGCGATGCCCACATATCCATTTCAGCATCTACCACCCTTGCTTGGGGTGATTAAGTGGTGGTCCACAAACCTGGAGGAATTACCAATTTTAATCTTTTGCAATATTCCTTATAATGGCTAACAGTTGTGCCTTTAAACTATGGATATATTAAGAGAGAAATCCTTGATTAGATACAATCTCTACTAACCTTTCAAAACGACTTCTAGTTCATCTCTTAAAATGTCAAAGTTACTGTAACGGGAGCTGGTCTCAGGAATGATGTTGCGTTTCAACCAGCCTCCGCAGGCATATTTGAAAAAGTCTGTACAAGGCTCAGCGGTGGCATCCATGTTCTGGATCAGTCGAGCAGCTGAAAGAGCAGGGAAAGGACTAGATAAAATGAAGGGTGTATTTCTTAAGTAGTTTGGAAGGAGAAAAAGAGACATGTTGCTTCCTCTTTCCATCACATCAACTGGATGGATATTTCTTTTTCTTTCTTATATACTGTCAAATCAGGTGGAATGATGAACATTGTCTCTACATGAACCTCTTTTATTTTACTATAGTTGGTTCTTTTTGGCACTGTCTGGGTCCTCCTACCCTACATCTCATACCTTTCCCCCTTCCTGGCCCTCCAATATCTGAGTTTCTTGCTAGTTCTTATCTCAGAAGAGAAAAGAATATTGGTCTACTGTGCCTTGGCCATCCTGAGCCTGGGGTTAACATGTCATTCTTTATAACTTTAGTTGCCAACTCTGCTCTTCAAAGTGCTGTGACTTTTGGATGTCTCTGAGACTCCAAGGGATGGATGATCGTTAATGGGTTTTTATCATTTTAGTAAGGATCTGAAGCCTAGTTATTACTTCTTGGACCTTGCTTATAAAATTTTTGCAATTCAAATTTGACATCCACTTTGCATTTGCTTATACAGAGTCTGTCATTATAAAATTGGCTGTAAGCTTGTTAGTTTTTTCTCAGGTCCAGTCTTTTATCTTTGAGGACTATGATGAAAATGCAAATCAACCAATACTGAATATTTACAATGTGCAAGACACTGACTCTTCTAGGTGCTTCAATTGATAGAACAATGTCTGAAATATGATTTATTACCACCAAACAGGAGAATATGGCCCAATGCCCATAATGTCTGCACCTGGAAGAGAGAAAACACTGCTACTACCCTCCCCACTTTCTGTCTCAAACAAATTGAACTGTTTTGCAATGAAAACAAAAGAGCAATTGAGAATTCATCTGTATCAAGAGAATATAAGCTTTCAAACGAGCGTTTGAAAATACTTCACTGTATGAATTAATTAACGTATTAAAAACTTCAAACACTTGCTGTGCTGTGTGGATTTTTTCAACTTGGTATGGTAAACTGCTTACCAGCTGCGCCGCATGTCCCACTTTTAGCCACTTTTGGGGCACATACACTTGAATCCATTTCTTTAATACTACACTCTTGGAGCTGCCTCCAGACCATTTCTCTCAATTTTTATGCTTCGGTATATAGCGCAATTGTTATACAGCCTCCCAGGTTTGAAACCTTGGGAAAAACTCTGTATTTCTCCATTTCCCTGGGGTTTATTGGCAATTCCTTTGCCTCTTTTCTATACCCCTCATCTTATGAATACTGTCAACCTAGTTTACAGTTTCATTCCCTTTTGACTAGAAGCCACCTTGATATATTTTGTGCATCTTTCACAGATTAAACTTCCCAAAACCCTTTTGTAGTGATCATGACCTTGCTCAAAAATGTCTCTGGCTGGACATTTCCCAGGTTGAACTACAAACTCTTTAACTTGGCCTGTAAACCTTTACCGGAACTCCTCATGTCTCTACCCTCACCTTTTCCCCTCTCGGTGTTTTTATGCAAACTCTCTTTCAACCAGACGGGCCTGCTCAACGTGCTGCAAACACTCCTTGTGTTTTCCTAGTCCTGTGCCTTTGCTTCTGCCCTCCTCACCCCATAGCTTTAACTCCCACACTCCTACCCCTGACTTTTTCCCAATTCTACCCATCATTCAAGGTTCACCTCCCGTACCATCTCCTTCCTGATGCTTCCACGACTCCAGACTTCAAGGAATATTTCTTTCTCTGAACTCTCGAGAGCTCACTGCCTCACTCAATTTTTTTTTTTTTTTTTTGAGACAGAGTCTCACTTTTGTTGCCCTGGCTAGAGTGAGTGCCGTGGCGTCAGCCTAGCTCACAGCAACCTCAAACTCCTGGGCTCAAGCGATCCTCCTGCCTCAGCCTCCCAAGTAGCTGGGACTACAGGCATGCGACACCATGCTCGGCTAATTTTTTGTATATATATATTTTTTAGTTGGTCAATTAATTTCTTTCTATTTTTAGTAGAGACGGGGTCTCGCTCAGGCTGGTTTCGAACTCCCAACCTCGAGCAATCCGCCTGCCTCGGCCTCCCAGAGTGCTAGGATTACAGGCGTGAGCCACCGCGCCCGGCCCTCACTCAATTTTTAATGCTTAGATGAGGCCACTTTAAGTATTGTGGATACTTACTCTGTCTACCTAACCATTTGTTGATGTCATTCATCTCTTTGTATTCCCATCACCTAGCACCTGGGTAACAGGGGTGCAACTATGTTTACCTGTGCCTGAATCATCTATGAGTCCTCCTACCCACTCCTCCTGCACATCTTTCTCTCCAATTCCCAAAGGTCAGATCAGTTCTCAGTTCACCACCTTGAGAGTCTATTCCAGCCTTTCCAATCCCACTGTTTCTACTCCACCTCAGGCCCTCTTTCTCTTAGGCTGTATTTGTGCCTTTTACCCTGAGCTGTGGCTCTAGGCCTCTCCCCATCCTGGTGCATCCTGCACTCCATAGGCAGATTAGCATTCTCAAAACATTTCAGTATGTCATTTTTCACTCCAATGTTTTCAAAACAGTCCTTTTGCATTCATAATGAAATCCCAATTCCACAGTGTATTCGAACACTAATATAGCTAACAGAGTTTCTCTCTTGCTACTTTCTCACGTGAGCCACATGCCCAGTTAAATGCGTGTATTCAGTTTCTGCTGTGAGACATCTTACATCTTTAAAAAAACCTTTTTGCTCTGTAACTTTAACCATGTTATCCAGCAGCAACCCTTACTAATAGATATTCTTTTGTATTATTTCACACTTTGAAATTTTAGGCATTTTCAAAGCCTAGTTCAAATCTTCCTCCTTCATGAAAGAATGTCCTTACAAAGCCTGTATCAGCTTGCCTCATGTTCATTTTTTTTTCACACAAATTCATCACCTCGTCACCTGGACTGTGCTCTGAGAAAGTGGGGAATGCATTTCCCAGTCTCGCATGGAGCTTAATACTCTGCTTCGTCAAGACTGGCAGTGAATGCTCTAACTTTAAAACCTCAGGCAAAGATTAGGAAACCCATCCAAAAGTGGTAGTGAGAAAAAGTAATTCCCTTGAATTTCGAAGGACATAAATATAAGATGATGGGTGAAGATAAAGACCCTAAATACTACGATTATCATGTAAAGTGAAAAACCAGAAAATTGGAGCCCAAAAGAAGTGCTAACTACAGATGTTCTAAGAACACACTTTAAGAAATTGTATGCAACTCTTCTCTTTTAAAATACCTTAAAAAATTTAAACTGAATGCTGTAAAGGCTACTGCCACTTGGGGAACACTTCTATTTTCTCCCTTTCTCTGGGGAAATGTATGAATTCTGTCATAACACCACAGAAAAATAAACTCTACTCAGGAGAGTGGTGAACAATGAACAAGTAGAATGAACATGGAGAGCCATGAACAAGTCTTATTGCCTATTTGGAAATACCACATGCCCTCATAAGCACACTGAATAAAAGGATGGGCAGTGGCTGCAGTTCTCTGATGATGAGGGCACATTCTCCTGTGAATGCAACTGTACTTCCCACATCTCCCAAGAGGAAGAAAGATCAGCCTTCCCCTCCTCCAGTTCAAATTTTCTCACCTGGTATCCAGTATAGTAAACTACTTACATCTGCACAACAAACCAAAGAGACAATTTGTGAGGGATGTGCAGAGGAACTTTGCTAACCCTTCTGGGGCCACTTTTTAAATTTCCCTTTGACCAGAGAGCTATTCTGAGCATGGGTGCTTCCAATCACTTCAAAGAAAGCTCTCTGCTCTGATGAATATTTGGGGGCCACGGGCCAAGGCAAGTCATGGGCTAACACTTTTATGCTGGGTCTTTGATCAACCTTCCTTTAATCTCTTATCGTGGGTTTGATTCTCGTTTTGCACCTCACCCTCCGGACCTCCTCTGTGCTGACTTTTCTTTGAAGTCAGCAGTAGACTTGTGGGTAGAGGCCGTAGGAAACAGACGTACAACTGTCAAATGGGTTGTAATTGTTTTTATGTTTTGTACTTTGTTTTGAATTACTCAACCTCTCCACATAACCACACCTGGGCTCTTCAGATGTTTCCTTATCTGTGGGCCTCTGACATCTGAGTAAACAAATGTGGCTTAAAATCAAACAAAATTATTCACCTTAATAAGTAGACATAAAAAATGATATAGTAAAGGTATTGACATGGAATGTTGTTGACCAGACCTCAAATAGTGAGAAAGAGTATACTGTGGTTTTTAAAAACCTCTGGAAAAGCACAGGAAGTCTAGAAGGATATATACTAGGGCATTTACAGCAGTTAAATTCGAGTAGAGGGATTATGGGTATGTTTAATTTTGTGTTATTTGCTTATCTTTATTTTCCAATTTGTATTAGATGAACATGCATTGCTTTTGTAATGAGGAAAAAAAGTTTATTTTTAATTTAAGAAAATACTCACATAAAGACAAGAAAAGTAATCTTCTATTAATAATGAGCTTATTTCTTACAAATGACATTTCTGAATGTTTCGAGCTGATAATAAATGACACCATTTTTTTCCCTAACTAATCTCCTTGTAACATTCTCCCAACTTATTTGACTGCAGAAATTTAAAAACAAGCTCAACTATCATCTGGGAAATTATTAATTACTGTATTCATCACCGAAGATCTATTGTGTGGGTCTGGATTGGGAGATGCTGTATTAGCTGGGAAAATTTGGGTGTTAAAGGCAGACAGACCTGTTTTGGATCCCAGAGCTCCACCACTTTTCAGTTGTATGAGATTAAGTAATTTCCCCAAGATCGAGTAGCTAGTAAATGATGGTGCCCCAGGACTGCACTTAGGCAAATGTGGCTCTGAGCTCACTCTCTTCCCTCCCTGCTTTGGACACAGAGAAGAGGGCAGGTGAGACGCAGCCTTGCATGGCCTTCCTCCCCACTCTTTCCCAAGTACCCTTTACTTTCCCCAGTCCTGCCCTGTTCTGCACTTCCTCTCCTTCCTGCCACTCTGAAGCCACAGCTTCCCT